TTATTTGTCACTCAGATGCCACCTAATTTATGTTAGAGTGAGACGTGGCAGCCGAAAATAGTTTTTTCTACGAGAGTGACATCTTTTCTATTGTGAACAATACTTCTCGTGTTGGTTATCGTATGTTAAGTTTTGTGGGAAAATAAATAATATATCTTTTTGCAAGGGTGTCTGCACATAGACTGCTGAAATAAAATATTTTTTATACAAGATAGAAGTAAGGAATTAATATAATCAAATAAGGCTCAATTGCTAGAAACTTCCCATCGTCCCATCGCCAAAAGTTTTTAATTGACGTCTAAGATTTTAGAACACTCCGTGAACTTGAATGTTTCCCCACGGCTTCTTCATCAAATTTAGCCGAGTTAATTTACTGAAATATATCCATAATTATTGGTTGTTAATATCTTCCCAAAGTGTTAATTTGAAAAGAAAGTATACGTACGTGGTCGATTTTAAAATTTTGTGTTATATGGAATGTAGGATTTGAATTACCTTATTTTAAAATAGTTAAAATTTAAAATTTCAATGCTCTTTGATGCTTGCATTATGACACGATTTACTGTTTACAAGAAACAAAAAAAAAACTATGTAAATTTATGAAATATTTTAAATACAAGGTTTAATTTAATTTTCTCTAAATCTGGTTAGTAAAACTTTAATTTCAGAAAGCTGATCTTTTTGTTTGTTTTTATTAAATCTATTTTATTTTTCAGTTGGTAGGTTTGATCGCTTCGTAGCAGGGTTAACATCCTCTTTAGTGGTTGAAAGCTTTGGGGAAATGGCAACTGGTACGTCCTTAAGGGTTTTTTTTTTGGATGTTTGCATGCCTTCTTTATCCTCGATTTTTGCTTTAACTTGATCGATGGTATTAGTGCATTCTAATTCCAGCGATATGCTTTTTCGGTCAAAGTTTTTACGAATAATAAATAGCATTAGATTTTTTGAAGTTATTAGGGTCTCGTAAAAAAAATAAAATAAAAAAAAAATATTTCAAAAATGAAATACAGTAAATAAATGGTGAGTTTATTTAATAAACATATGATGCCACATGTGTCATTATAATCCTAAATGGTATTAACCGGCACTATAAATTTATTAATACTGAAAATTATAATTTTGGCCAAAATCTTCATTTAATTAAAAATATCTTTAACCGGCTAATAATGATCTCACCTCTTTAAAATATAACATAAATACTTTATTGAATTCAAAACCTATGAATTAAAAATTCTCGATATGGGATCATGGTTCAATCAGTATATGGTCGTTTGTCAATTTTTTTTTTACACTAAAGTTTCATAGAATGCATTAATCAAATCTGTGTCATATTAGCTTATGATATATATCCGTAGAACATTTTTACTTTAGACAATTTCAAAATATTCCTTTCCTTTTTGATCTTTCATGTTACAAGACGAAACGTCCTTCTTTTATAACAAATTTTCCTTTCTTGGGCTTTGGCACAGATCTTCTTAAAATTATCAATGAATAGCTGCTTATACACAGAAAGTTAAATTAATTTAATCCTGATGGCTAGACCGAAATGTCAAATGACAAACATTGTAGCCAATTTTCCTGGTGACACTTTCTTTTTTTTTTCTTTTTTTTTATAATTGCATTAATTGCATTGATGAATGTTATGATTTTTCTGATTATTATGATGAATCTTTTTAATGTTTATTTTTTTTCTTTATTGTTTTTCATATTTTATTTTTATTTTTTTGATCATTACATTCCTTTATTATTTTTCTCAAATGTAATAGCAGATGGCTTAATTATACCTTAGCCCTATTATTAATTAGATATGTGATTATGTTTTTTATTATTATAGGTTAACTCGACTCTATTTAGCAATTATTTGAATTTATATTTATTATGCTCCTAGTAAAAATGTCCAATAATAATTATTAGTGT